CAGTTCTTTCCTGCTCCTCTGTAGACAAAAATATAATCCAAGGTGCACAAACATACCTGCTCCTGTCTGAATGGGTTTATAAAACTTATTTCTAGGTAAGTTTAGGGTTAAATTTTTAAAACCAAGGGCCAAAGCGAGACTCTGTCTCAAAAAAAAACTCAAAATGGGTACTGTGATGAATTTGTTCAGGCACTGGACTGACAAGAGTTTCAGGAAGGAGGACCTTCCCTTCCATGTTTGTGAGCCAATTTTGACCATTATACTTTGAGAATCCCCATTCTTTAGCTCTTTCTAGATCCTTTTCAGAATATCGAGGCTCATATTTATCTAATTGAAGAGAGGGAATTAGAGTCGATTGACAGTTCATTTGTCAGGCTGCCCTTTTTGTCATCAAATCTTCCATAGTATTTCCTTTTGTAATATGAGTGTCTGTTTTCTGCCGTCTCCGGCAGTGCATGATGGCTACCCCCCTTAGGCAGTAACGTTGCTTTTAATAATTTAAGAATCTGAGGCCCATATTTAATTCCTTTATTTTTTAGAAGAAAGATATCCTCGCTCCTTCCAAACAGCCCCATGAGCATGCACCACCATAAAGGTATATTTAGAATCTGTATATATATATTGATATGCTTATTTTCCCCATGATATGGGACTCTGGTCAATGCAATCAATTCCAACTTTTGGGTGGATGTCCCAGTGGGTAGGGCTTGTGCATCAATTACCTGTTGGCTGGCGACCACAGCATACCCAGCTTTGTGTTGTCCATGTTCTATGAAGCTGCTCCCATCTGTGAAGAATTCCTCATCTGGGTCTGACAAGGGCTGATCAGTCAAATCCAGGAGGCTAGAATATACTTGGTCAACTATTTGAATGCAATAATGAACTGGAGAGGCCTGGCGTGGTGGCTCACGCCTGTAATCCTAGCACTCTGGGAGGCCAAGGCGGGCGGATTGCTCAAGGTCAGGAGTTCAAAACCAGCCTGAGCAAGAGCGAGACCCCATCTCTACTATAAATAGAAAGAAATTAATTGGACAACTAATATATATAGAAAAAATTTTTCTCTGGTGCAATGGGGTAAAAAATAAAAAAAAATAAAAAAAAAATAAAAAAATGAACTGGAGAGTGAGAGTCCACAGGCAGCAACATGATGATGGAATTCAAGGTCAACACTATCTTTAAAGTTACATTAGGATTATCTAACAGAGTAGTTTGATATTTGTCTAACCAGCCAGCCATCAACCAGTAGCCCCCTTCTGTTCTAGTAGGGGTAACACATAATGTGTAGTGTGAATAGTTACCAGCTGTCCAAGTGTAAATTTTCCAGCTGTTTGTAAAATATCACAAGTAGTGGCAACTGCTCTCAGACAAGTGGGCCATCCTTTTCCTACTACACCTAATTGTTTAGAGAACTAGGCCAGAGGATGCTCATGAACCTCCAAAGTTTGGGTTCACAGCCCCAGTCCAGTTCCTTGTCTTTCTTGGATGAACAAATCAAAAGGCTTCCACAAATCCAGGAGGCCCAGTGTAGGGGCAGTCACCAGTTTTTCTGGCTGTAATAATCAAGAAAGCCTTTTGACATTCTCCTGTCCAAGTTAGGGGCTCTTTTGCCTCTCCTTTTAAGGCTGCACAGAGAGGATTGGCTGTTAAGCCAAAGCCAGGAATCCAAATCCGACAAAAACCCTGCCATACCCAGGAATCCTCGCAGCTGCTTGTGAGTGGCGGGGACTGCTACCTGGCTTATAGCGTCCCTCTGGTCTGGGAGGTGGTTATAAGTCCCCCGAGACAATTCAAATCCCGAGTATTTGACGATGGGCAGTGAGATTTGGGCCTTTTTCTGGGATGCTTTATATCCTTTGCCAGCTAAGAAATTCAATACAATTACAGCGCGTTGTCTTGATTCAGCTTCAGTCTCACTTGCAATTAAAATGTCATCTACACACTGTAAAATTACTCCCTTTTCTAAAATTATCTTTCTTAAATCTCTAGCTAGAATTTCTCCAAAGATGGTTGGAGAATTTTTAAATCCCTGGGAGAGAACAGTCCAACAGTACTGGCATTTGATTTTAGGTCTTAAATCCTCTCATTCCAAAGCAAAGAGTTCTTGTGATTCAGGAGCAAGGGGAACGCAAAAGAAGACATCTTTTAAGTCTATCACTGACAACCAAGCAAAATTGCCAGATAGAGCAGTGAGAAGAGTATAAGGATTAGGTGCTGCTGCAGGTGAATGTCTTCCACTATCTGGTTTATTGCTCTCAGAACCCGAACAAACCAATATTCCTGAGTTCCAAGTTTTTGAACTGGCAAAATGGGAGCGTTATAAGGAGATCGACAAGGCCAAAAAATTTGTATTTTAAAAAGGCCGCAATGAGGGGTTGAAGGCCCTCCCTAGCTTGAAGCTTTAATGGATACTGCTTGGGTCGAGGGGGAGAAATTCCCGGTTTTATCTTGATATGAACCGGGTCCACGGATGTCCTTTCGGCTTGTCCGGCAGCCCATACCTCAGGGTTGACCTGATTGAGGGCTGCAGCAAGGAGCCCTTGAGGGACAGCCAAAGGGGCAAGCGGAGCTGCTTGCAAGGCACAGCCGTGTTCTGGGGGGACTACAACATGCACTTGTTTATACTGCAAGGTCACTTGAGCCTGCAATTTAGAGAGAAGGTCTCTACCCAGCAATGAGATAGGGCACTCAGGCACACACAGAAAGCTGTGTGTAAGGAAAGAATCCCCAATAGCACAATCCAGTGGCTGGAGAAAAATATTTTGGGGAAGGTTCTCTGGAAACCCCAGTCACCAACATTGGGTCTTTAGTAAGCTTAGCCAATTTAAGGTTTGAAACTGAGTGAGTTGCACTAGTATCAATCAGGAAAATCAGTTTTTCTCCCACTTTTACGGTCACCCTGGGCTCCTGGTGGGAGATATTAATCACTGGCTGTAATTTCCATGGATTCTGGGGAGTCCTAGGGACCCCTCATTCCATGTCTTCTGCATTCAGCCCCATCAACTGTACAGTAAGTTCCTCATCACTCTTGTTGTGACTTAGGACAATCCTTCCTCCACTGACCTATTTTCTTGTGGTAAGCACATTGGTCCTTTTTAAAGGAAATTTTTCCTCTTAATCTTTTTCCTCTGTGGGGCAGTGGTCCCTGTTGAGGGGACTACCTAGAGTTTTCCACCAGAACTGTTGACAAAAGTTTTGCCTGTTGTTTCATTTCATATACCTTTCTTTTTTTCCTTTGCTTTTCTTTGGTCTGTTCACAGTTTATAAAGACCATATAAGCCACTTCAATTAAATGAGATATGGGCAAAGTGAGAAATCTCTCTAATTTCTGTAACTTCTGCTGGGTATCAGGAATGCTCTGGCCAACCAAGGTCATGTTAATTAACCTTGAATTATCAGGACCTTCTGGATCTCTATCAGTATATTTCTGATATGTTTCCATAATCCTTTCTGGGAAAGGCTGATGAATTTTCATGTGTTTCCTGTCTTTTTTTTTTTTTTTTTGAGACAGACTCTCACTTTGTTGCCCGGCTAGAGTGAGTGCCGTGGTGTCAGCCTAGCTCACAGCAACCTCAAACTCCTGGGCTCAAGCGGTCCTTCTGCCTCAGCCTCCCGAGTAGCTGGGACTACAGGCATATTCCACCATGCCTGGATAACTTTTTGTCGTATATTTTTAGTTGGTCGATTAATTTCTTTATATTTTTAGTAGAGACAGGGTCTCATTCAGGCTGGTTTTGAACTCCTGACCTCAAGCAATCCGCCCGCCTCGGCCTCCCAGAGTGCTAGGATTACAGGCATGAGCCACCGCACCCAGCCTCTTATGTCGTGGTCCCGTTTACCAGACGGAGGATGAACACAGAACATAAAACACAAACGCAGAACACAAAGAAAAACGCAGACACACTTACAAACGGTTGACTCGAGTAATAATACACCGGGTCAGTTTTATTTTTATACTCTAAAAGATTAAAGTCAGTTCTTTGTACGTAACCACCCAAGCATTGCAGCAATGGCCATAAATTCTGGAATAGCCTTAGGGAAGCAGGCGTCCCCTGACTCAGAATCTCTAGGTGGTTGCTCTAGGTACTAGGCATAGATAAAGGACGGAGATTAGCATGATGGGCAAGGTGAGCCACAGGGGGCATTTTTCATCCCCAGCTTCTCTTAGGGTGACCCCCTAAGATCTTTGGCTGAACCTGGCGACTGTGCCTGGCTTAGGTCATCCCTCCCTTGAGGGGTCTTACGCTTCATTGACTAACCAGCCATCTTATGGAGTGTACGCAGCAATCACAGGAACAATATGTTTATCGTGTGGCCTCCAGATCACCAAGGCCGTGGGGTGGGGCTGTTCTTGCTAGTTGCGGCTCAGGTCCTTTGTTATGCCTCTAGGCAGCACCTTTGTTTATCACTGGGAGCCTATCTGGAACAGATTACTTTCAAATGCTCTGGGCAGAACACATACATTACTCACTAACTTTAATTCTTAAACTAGGAAAATGTATGTCAGTCCCCTACACTCTTATATGTAATTTGATCTGGCTTCTTTCCATACAGAAGCATAAAAGACTGTACATAAGGAATTTCATCCCATTTCCCAACACAGCGACAAAACAAATCTAATCAGAAAATAGTATTATAACTCAATGAGCCATTGAGGGGCCATGTCTCCCCAGACCCGAGAGAGTACTGGAGCCAGGCAGTATTACACAAATATGCCATTTTTTATCTTCCTTTTTATAGGCTCATAGCTGTATTCAGACCAGTTTTGGGGAATACAACACAAAGGGCTACATTTAGGAATTGAATTCTTATTTCATACAGTCAAACACGCAAACAGCAAATGGACTTCAGTTCTAACAAATAAGCCTAAGGAGTGCCAAATAAGGCTGGGCATGGTGCCTCATCCTTGTCATCCTAGCACTTTGGGAGGCCTAGGTGGGAGGATCCCTTGAGCTTAGGAGTTTGAGACCAGCCTCAGCAAGAGTGAGACCCTGGCTCTAATAAAAGTAAAAAAACAAACAAACAAAAAGAAGGAAAGAAAGCAGTGCCAAATACAACCAGTTGGAGGTCCTGCTCTTCCAAATGAATTGGTTCAGTCTTCCAACCCAAGTGGGATTTCCCATAAAACTCCCAAATGGTTGAGGCCTCTAGCTCAAACAGGAACTCCAGAGAAATTCCCCAAATGGAGAGAGAAGTTTTAGGTCCTACTCTTCCAAATGACTGAGCCTAAATGGGAATTCCAGAGACTCTCCCCAAATGGAGAATCTCCGCTGCATGGTACCTTTAAATAGCACTCACCTGTCTGGACGCAAATGCAAAAATCCAAAGGTCAAAGGTCCCCTCTTCCTTGGCTATTGGGGAGGTATTTGGGGCTGGTGACAGAGAAGTCAGTGGAAGAAACCAAAACCAACCTCTGGCAGAAACTCAACTGGGCAGCTGCTAGAGAGGCTTTAAAGTCTTTCTCTGTTCCACAGCCACCAAGCCATGAGCAATGGATCCTGGATGAGCCCCTCAATTGCTAACAAACCCACATGGGGGTTTCAGTGTTGCTTGCCACACAGAAAGCCAATTACTAAGATAACGAGGATTGTCAAGGCAGAAAGGATTTATTTCAGTGGATACGTCCACTGGGAGGAGGGAGGTATGAACTGCCTCCAATCCACCTCCTCAACCAACAGGGTCGGGGTTTATTTCTGGAGGCGAAATGATTAATGCATGAGGGGAGTGAGCATCATTACCTGTTTGGGGTGGGGTGTAGGGTATGCAAGCTCAGTGAGAAATCATGCTAGTACATATGTTCCATGATCAAAAAAAAATGGCAGATAAGTTCCTCCCAGGGTGTGGATTTTAGTATTATAATGAGCTAGGGGTTAATATTGGTCATTCTTTCAGCCTTGTGCACAGGCTCAATGGGTCTTTGGGCACAGTCCGTGACTGAGGTATTGTTTATTTTGTCTTCTCTGGACAAACAGGTGGTGTGATGTTTGTAGTTATCTCATGGCTGCAAGGAGGGTCCACTGTTTCTGGGAAATAAACTCAAAAGAGAATGTCTCAGTGCAACACAAAGTTACAAAGTTCTGGTCAGCAAATCTTACCAAGAGCACTCTGTCTATTTTCTGCCTATTTTGAGACTGTAGCCCCTAAGCTACCAGGGTTGAGATAAAACTCACTATCAAGGCCACTTGGAGCTGCCAGCCCCAGCCATAATGTGAACACTGAAAACTCATTTGAGATATGAGGGAACAAAAGACATTATTGAGAAAACATTTTCTTGCTTATGGAGTCAGTTATAGCAGGGCTTCGAGGTTCAGGAGGACTAAGGTTTCCCCCTCAGGCTCACAGGCTACCTACCTGGGTGTGGTGGAGGCTTCCAGGATAAAACCCCAAACTCAGCGATTTCGTGGTCCTGGATTGGCATGTTTGGAAAGTGTGGGCTTTCTGAAGGAGAACAGTCTCTCTTGACACTGATCATCACTTTTCCATGCCAGGTGCCACTCGACCAAGCCTTCTTCCTTCATGTTGGGCTGATGAGGAGAGCACTGTCAAGAGCCTCCAAGCTCTGTCCCCAAGAAACAGGGTCCTCTGAGGGACTAGATGTGACTGTTGGCTTCTGATTCTGTGACCTCCTTGAGCAGAGGACTTCTGAGAACATCAAGCGGCATTTCACAGACAAAATCCTCCTTTGAGTTTTTCAAAGAAGGAAAAATTGAAAATAGTTCATCACTTTAAAAAAATTGATAAAATCCAGCCTGAGCAAGAGCGAGACCCTGTCTCTACTAAAAATAGAAAGAAATTAATTGGCCAAATAAAAATATATAGAAAAAATTAGCCGGGCATGGTGGTGCATGCCTGTAGTCCCAGCTACTCAAGAGGCTGAGGCAGGAGGATCGCTTGAGCCCAGGAGTTTGAGGTTGCTGTGAGCTAGACAGATGCCACAGCACTCTAGCCAGGGCAACAGACTGAGACTCTGTCTCAAATAAAATGAAAAATTTTTATAAAATAAGAATTGATAAAAGAAACACATTTCTATTAATTAAAATGGAGAGTCACATTATTCTTGGATAATGAAGGTATAAGCTTCCTAGAGAAGAGGAGTGAGATTCTGCTTCAGAATGCTAAAAAAAAGGAAAACAGAAAAAAAAGAGGAGTAAGAAAAACAAGTTCCAGCCTCTCATTCTTTTCTCTTGTTCTCAGCATCAGGGCAGAGCCCAGGGGACAAGGAAAAGTGGGAGGGACACTGAGAGGCAAGGCCTATAGGACCTGAGCTCTCCAAGGGGGAGCCTTCCCGTTGCTCCCATGAGCTCCCAGGTCCATGGTCTCTGAGGATGTCAGTTGCTAGATACCGTCTCTCTGGGGAAACAGCCCTCAAAGGAGGTGCTCGTGGGAAGGCAATCAGACCTGAGGCATTTGTCAGAGTCCCGCTCTGCCCATCTGTGGGCATAAGGAGTGATGGACCTGGGCAATGGGTGGCCATGTGAGATGTCAAGGAAGGACTACTGGTCTGTTTGGAGTCAGAACTTCTGTCTCTTGTCTTTGCATAAGTACTTTGACTTCCATGGTGCTCTGATTCCTTTTTGAGGTGACCACTGATGTCTGTACTTCGAACGGTGGTTTTGAGCATCATTTGGAATAACTTATGTGAAAGTAATTTATAAATTAAACTATATATACTTGTGAACCTTGTTAATATTATTGTTGAGCTTGAGCTTGTCTGCTGATTTTAGGGGGCTATCAGAGTTTAATGTCCCATGGGTCCCCCATAAAGGGGCTCCTATGTGATCCCTGTGCTTCTACCTTCCTTACGTATAACCTGGGTTGGAGAATTTGCCAGAGAGAGGCATAGAAGGGAAGGAAACTGCTTTCTGCTACAAAAAGGTGATGAATTTCTCCCCTTCTTTTCTGGTCCCTCCCCCCTTTTTCTTAAGACAGAGTCTCACTTTGTTGCCCAGGCTAGAGTGAGGGCCGTGGCATCAGCCTAGCTCACAGCAACCTCAAACTCCTGGGCTCAAGAAATCCTTCTGCCTCAGCCTCCCAAGTAGCTGGGACTACAGGCATGTGCCACCATGCCCAGCTAATTTTTTCTGTTATGTTTAGTTGTCCAATTAATTTCTTTCTATCTATAGTAAAGACGGAGTTTCGCTCTTGCTCAGGCTGGTTTCGAACTCCTGACCTGACCTTGAGCAATCCGCCCGCCTAGGCCTCCCAGAGTGCTAGGATTACAGACGTGAGCCACCGCGCCCGGCCTCCTGGTCCCCTTTTTAAAGCATGTTCTATGCATTTTGGGGATTCAGTGCACCTGCCACAGTCGTGGGGGGCGGGGGTAGCCATGGGAACGGAGATGTGAATGAAGGCCCTGGGTTAGAGAGGCTAGAAAGTATATTGTGAAGTCGTGGGTGGGGGCAAAGTGAGGGGGGCTGCAGGCTTCAGGCGGCCCCACCCCAGCTAGGATAGCAGG